ATACACAATGGAATTTTACTCAGCCACAAAGAATGAAATTTTGTCATTCACAGGTAAATGGATGGAACTGGAGAACATCATCTTAAGTGAAGTTAGCCAGGTTAAGAAGGCCAAAGCTACGTGTTCTCCCTCATATGCGGACTGTAGACCTAAAATAAATGCACCAATATTAGGGGATACAGGTCACATTAAGGGAGATGACACACAGGAAGGATAGGGCAAAGGAAGGAAACTAAAAACTTGAATGTGGTTGATGTGCTGTCTCTGTTAGTAATGAATATAGAAATCTTAAACTGGCAAGGCCACCGTGGGAATTGGACTAAGGAGGAGTAAAGACGATTAGAGGAGATGAACCAACTGAGGTTGTAACACATGTATGCATGGAAACAACACAAAAAATCTCCCTGTGTAGCTAACTTTATCTCAAACTAGCAAAAATGTCATGTTTCTCTTTTTATCTTTTTTCTTCTACAAAACTGGAGAACAGGAGGGTGGAGCAGCCGAGGTGGGGTGGGTGTAGAATGGGGTAGGGGAGGTGGTGAGGAAGGCAGGTAGGAGGGTCAATAGGTACAAATAATGTGCACATATGTATGTAAGTGTAAAAATGATACCTGTTGAAACTGTTACAAGAATTGGGGGAGGGGAAATGAAAAAGTGGTGGAGGGGGTGAATTCAAATGTGATATATTTGATACACTGTAAGAACTTATGTAAATGTAAATGCTACAATGTACCCTCACCCAGCACAACAATAAGGGGGAAAAACTGCTAAAAAAGAAGCAGCAGCAGGAGGAGTCAGGAAGAGGAATGGGGTAGCCCTCCAGGTCTCTCATTCTTCCTTCAATCAAAGCAGCTTTGCTTTTATCTATTTTATTCATCATTTTGAAAGGTACCGACAATCCCTAAATTTTTTAAATTACAGGGTTGTTTTTTTTTTTTTTTTTTTCTGTCAGTACTGGAGTTTCATGCTTGCAAGGCAGGCACTCTACAACTTGAGCCACATTTCTAGTCCCAAATTTATTGCTTTTGGATATATAAGAAGACTTGCAAATTCAGATGTTAGCTGATGACATTCAATAGATCAGGTTCTGAGGACAATGGATATCTGACTGCAGCATTCCTATTTCCTGCCTTGGCAACACTGGACATATCTCCAAGCCTCACTTTGCCCATTTAGGCAACTTTGGTAACAGATGCACCCTCAAAGTTTATTGTAAGACCAAATAAGATAGTCATGTAATAACACATAGCCAAGTGTCTAGCATGCATGCTCAATAAATGCTTTCTGCTGCTACTATAATTACCAATCACGTTAGGGCTTCAGCCCTAACATTTTAGGCCTTTGGCTTTCGATTCTAGCAATTTAAGAACTACAAGACTGTATAGTAACAAGGCTAAACCAAGATCCTGTGCCAGACGCACAGTTGTTTAATGGTGAGCATGCACTCTGTTGTTTCGTGTGTCTGCAATACCTGAGAAACTTCAGCCTTGAGCCCATTTTTTCAAATGAAAACATATGCAGAAGCTCAATATGTATGAAACAGAGTGAGCTGCTTAGGGTGAAGAACAGAAAGGGTCACAGTGTCCTGCCTGCTCAATCATCAGCAGGAATGCTATCTTGTTTGTTACTCCCAGCACTCAGCTCATTAACACAATGGACACTAGGCATTCTTTTCTTGACTATACTGAAGGCAAGTTACTCAAAGACTCTTTCCCAAGACTCACTTATTTTTAGCAACTCTTTTATTTTTTTTCTGTGTTATCCCCAAAATTATCCTTGCTCATATGAAAATCCAAATGGTTATATCTCAAGCTCTATTTACCTTTCATGAATACTCGTTTCCATGATTGTCAGACACTTAACAAAAACACTACATCCTCTTCCAGGACCACCCCTCCCCCAACTACAGCTTGACTAGTCATTTACTTTCATTATCTCCACGAAAAGTAGCCTTCCCGCTATCTTTACACAACAAAGTCAGTCCTTGTTATACTTGATACCTTTCTTTCTCTCAACTACCTCAATAAACCATCCTCTTTTTCTGTCGTTTACTGGGGAAACCTTAATTCTACAATGACCATAATAGACTTTTTTTTTTAAACAAAGTATACTCTAATCTTGCTCTCTTTAATTTTCAATATTCAAAAGCATTTACTCACAGCCTTCTATTTAACTCCTTATTCTATGGTCCCTCTTATCTGCTGCTTACCTATTACCTACTTGCTACTTCAGTAAAAAATACAGTCCATTTAACATGAATGAATGACCCCATCTATCCTAAACTCCACCTCAGTATATTACTGATTCCTCAAACTTTGAGTTCCTTCTGTAGAACTTTTACCCACATAATGCCTTCTGTGCTGGGCACCTTTACATTCTACAGGTCAAAACTGCCACCCAACTAAAATAACTGGGTATCACTAACAACCTGTCAGTAGTCAAATGTAATGGATTCTTCTCAATCCTTATTTCCTTTCTATTTTGCAGTCCTGTTAGTGCGTCCTGTTCTTGCTTCCTTGGCTTCTATGACATGCTGCTAAGTTTTCTCTGCCATATGAGAATGACTTCTCCTTTTTCATACCCCAATGTTTCAAGGTTCTTTCCTTCCTACACTATTCTTTTTACTCAAGTTCACTTTTTCCCCTGGTTTCAATTATTGCCTCTGTTACTTACCCCATATACATCACCAACTCTGAACTTTCATCTGAATTATTCTTTCTGTAACAGATTTCCTTTGGATATTCCCTGTGCTATCTCAGTATCATTAATTCATTAAAAACTGGAAGTTATTTTTTCCTTCCCTTAAGGTATCCTTATTTCTATTAATGCCTACCATAATTTTTATACCCTAACAATTGAGATGTCTTATAGTAACCTCTGGATTGTCTCTCTTCTGAACTGCCAATAAATTCCTACTTCTGTAATATTTAAGTTACTATTAAAAAAAAAGGTGAAGAGACAGAGAAAAGTATAGCATTGGCCCTTCTTCCTCCAAGAAACTTAAGATGTTTAGCCTAGCATGGTGTACACATCTGTAATCCCAGCACTTGGGAAGCTAAAGCAGGAAGATCTGGAGTTAAGGTCAGCCAGGGACACCCAGTGAAATTCTGCCTCAAAAAACAAACATACTAAGAAAACAATAATTAAAAAAAAAAAAACTTAAAATGTAACCATGAGATATAAGACATGTAGATATGTTAAAATAACAGGATATTTTAATAATAAGACATATGAGCATATTTCTGGGCAGGCACAGCAGAGTACAATTTAAAAAAAAAGGCACAAGAATTAGGCTGATAAATAATTCCCAACTTTGCATTTAAACACTATACAATTTAAGTAATATCTCTGATCTTTTCTATGTAATTGTGAAGCTTAAATGAGTTAAACAATGTAAAGCACTCAGCATGGTTTTTCACAAGATTTCTTTTAGGGTGGAAAAAAGGACCCGGGAGAAGAGAGTGGGGGAAGTTACTGAAGATTTCAAAGCAAGTTCTCAGAAACCCAATCATAAAATAGGTAAGAGCAACACTGTGCTGGCTGAAGGAAGATGGGAAGCTTGGAATCCTGCCAGCTGTATCCTCTTCTTGGGTATTCCTCCCGTGTCCTTAAAATCCTCAAGACCACAAAACATTAACGCCAAACCAGAGGGGAATATAGTGGGCTAAGGAGCAAGGAATAAATAAGTAAGTTTGAATAATTGGTTATGTATAATGAGCAAAAGGTTTACAAAGCTAGGCTTTCTAGGCAATCACTGTATGCTTGAGGGTCCAGTCAAGATGATATGAATTTCATTTTCTGCTCATTCTCACCAACATTTCCCAAGCTTATCCTTAAGAAAAATACATGGCAAAATGATGGGGGCCATGGACTGCCATGCTTGGCACAGTAGAAAGTGGAATGTCTAGAATTATACTTGCACACACACAAAATTGGTCCCCCAGTATTGAGTCAATGAAAAGGAGATGAAAAATTCTAGCAAATTAGCAAGGACAGCTACTTTCAAACAATGAAAGTATATTCTATACTTCTCTTACATCTTCCATTTGACTACTGTAGTGCTGAGCATACAAATAAGCACTTAAGTACAGACCCGTGACAAATGTGAAGAAGGTATCAACATTTCAAGAGACATATATACCAAGCCAGAATGGCAATCATCAAGAAAAAAACAAATTCTGGCAAGGATGTAGGAGGGGAGGGGAGACCCTTATACTGTTGGTTGGAATGTAAATTAGTCTAGTCACTATGGAAATTAGTATAGGGGTTTCTCAAAAGACTAAAATAGAACTACCATATGATCCTGCTATACCACTCCTGGGCATGTAGCTGAAGGAATTCAAGTCAGCACACAGTAGAGATTATCTGTACACCCATGTTTATAGCAGCAATATTCACAAGAGCAAAATTATGGAATCAGCCTAAGTGTCCATCAATTAATGAAGAGGTAAAGAAAATGTGGTATATATATATACAATGGAGTAATATTCAGTCATAAAGAATGAAATTATGTCTTTGGTAGGTAAATGCATATAACTGAAAACTATCATGTTTAGCAAAATAAGCCAGACTAAGGGGGACAAATACCACATGTTCTCTTCCACCTGCATAATCATTTTGAGAGTAGGAATCAGCAGGAAAGGGATGAACAAAAGGAGAGGTGAAGGAGGGGGGTGAGTATAACTGAAGTACTTTATATGCTTTTGTGAAAAAAGAATAACACCGATTAAAATTGCTTTAAAAGGGGGGTGGTGAGATAAGAAACAGGAACAAAGGGGGTCAGCGTGACTGAAGTACATTTCATGCGTGTATAAAAATATCATAATGAAACCTCTTTTTACAATTAATAAATATATAGTAATAAAAAAACATTCATGCACAATGCAAATATATTTTAGGGAAATTTATAAAAATTTAACACTCAGTTTGTAAGAATTTTTCACTGGTAACACTGGAAACAGATTGAACTATAAAGTTATTTTTAACTATTTATCCAAGAAGTCTCCTATATGAGTTTTTATAAAGCTTTACCTTGATTCTTCTAAAGGGTGTTGGACAGTGAGAAGCCGGGGGTGTCGGAGCCGAGTTAACTGCTGGACTCCTCGTTTCAGAGAATCGATGATTTGATCCTTTTCAAATTTTTGATATTTGTCAATCAGTTTTTTATCAAAGACAAAAACAGCCACTTCCTAATAAAAGAATAGTGTAACTAGTTTTAATCAAGGAACACATGAAAGTAGTAAGATTATATTTGAGTGTCACAATGGTCTACAAATAGGAATATATAAAAACTAACACTACAGAAATTTTAGAACCACTGTAATACTTTTTTGATAAAAAAAGCTAGTTTTCTCACGATTAGTAAATCTAAATATTTTTAATGGTATGAGAGCCAAAGTCCTCATCTAAAGAGAACATAGGAAGCCAGGCATGGCAGTATGCATGTAATCCCAACACTGGGAGACTGGATGATTATGGGCTCCAGGCTAGCCTGAATTATACAATGAGACCCTAGCTCAAAAACAAACAAACAAATAAATAGGAAATCCACACCTTCGAATTCTGATGGTAACAGACATACACACAAACTGTGTGTTATTCATTTTCCTCTATGTAGTAATCTCTTATTTAACCAGAATTCAAACAAAAGTTAAAATGTTTAATAAAACATTTAAAAACTCAACATGCTATTCATAATGATAACCCTGGAGAACACTACAAAATCTTAAAAATCCTTTTAAAAGACAGGTCATATGTCAGGGAGTGCTTATTTATACAAAAACCTAATTTGTCAGCAGCTTTTACGTATGAATAATCTACAGACTCATACCATCCTATCCCTTATCTTGTTATAGGCAGTCAGTGAACGGTTACTATGCAGGAAGCAGCTCCCCCACCACTTCTCTTTGAAATCATTCAGTTTGTTTTATTTTACTAAGAGCATACATCCTCTTCACCATCTTCCTTTCATTCTGTTACCGAAGGAAAAATGGCTCTCATCCAGTTATACCACCTTAATAAATCTAAAAATAGCCCTGTTGACAGGCAACATGTATGACATAATTAATGTAATATAGTAATGTCTAATATAGGTAACAATGCAAAAGAAAAGAAAAACACTCAAACTAAAAGCAAAATTAGCAAAGAATGGTCATCTAAAATTCCTTGAACAAAGATTTTGAATGATTATTTCAGAATTTCTTTAAAGTCTCTTCAAAAGCTTCTAATTAAACTTACTGTTACTCAACTATCAATATATAATACAGTATCTATCTTATTGTTTTTCTCTTCTAATTATTTTTCTTCTACTTTTTTATTCTTGCTACATCAGGATTATTGTTTTCACAAATTTGCCAGGTAGCCTAATCATCTCACAAATATTTACTGAAAAATTCCAAACCAATAAATTTTTCAAACATTAAGTTGTTTTAAGTTGGAGGCTCCTTAAATATATCAATGAGTTAAGGATTTGAGGACTGAATCTCTGAAAAGTAATAACCCAAAGAAACTATTTAGTAACTGAGTTCAACCAACCTATGACCCCAGCACTGATGATGAAGGAGGCCTTTACTGTAGTAACAGAGGACTATTAACACAGTACTCAAGATATCGACACTAGATCAGACCAGAGTTTGAGTGGATTTCCCTACTACTGAATATCTAACAGGAAATGGGATAACAAATGAAATTACTACAACCTACTTACTCTACAGCCAAGTTTCAGCATTAGTCTGCTAGAGAATCTTACAAATAAAGAGGTTCCCAAGCCAACCCACTACTTATAGAAATAGCAATAGCTATTTGCATAGTTCTGTGCCAAGCACTGTGCTAAGCCCTTTTTTAGGGTAATTCCGTTTCTCACAGCAACCCTACCAGAAGTTGTTTTATCCTCACTTCACAGATGAGAACACTGTGGAAAGGATAAACGTTACAAGTGAGATGGAGAATCGAGATTCAAATCCAAGTATGACATTACATATTCCAAAGCCAACATACTGCTCTGTCTCCTCAGAATTAACACAGGACAAATGTGGTCACCCACATGATACATGCGTTCAGGAAAGAAATCATCACAGGTGAGTGACAGTTTTAAATAGCACTCATATACAGATTGCACGTCACTTATCCAAAACATTTGGGACCATAAGTGTTTCAGATTTTGGATTTTTTTCCAGATTCTGGAATTTTGCATATACATGAGATCTCATGGAGATGGGACCCAAGTCTAAAAATGAAATTCACTTAGATTTCATATCACCTTACACACATAGCCTGGAGGTTATTTTAAACAGTATTTTTGGTATACTTGCATTCTGACTACAATCCATCACATGAAGTCAAGTGTGGAATTTTCCAATTCTGGCAACATGTTAGCACTGAAAGCTTTTGTATTTTGGATCACTTTTTAGTTTTTAGATTAGGGCTGCTCAATCTGTACAAACAATAATCTCAGCACTTTTGACCATTATGAGACACAGGACAGCCAGGAAGAAAGGGTTTCATGTAAGACTAATTTGAACTAAAAAACAAGTGACCTAGAAGTTCAGATTCCTACCTCATAATTCGTGTGCAAAATCTTATTTCAGTAAGTGTTCTGCTATAACACATTTTATAAATGCATCTAATTTAAATGTGTTTATTTTTTCAAGATATTTTAAGTCTTAAAAAAAGATCACATGAAATGACTCTGGAGCTTCAGCAGTTTCACCACTCCTGAAGAAGACTATAGCTTATAACAATGAAAAATAAAATTCTCTTTCAGAGACCTATTTACTGTCACATGAAAGATGACAAATTCCTACATAGGTCAGAATAGGTCAGAAACTATTTTTACAATATTTTCTCCATGTTTCATTCAGTTAATTAAAATTAACCAAATTCAACAAAATTGTGTGGTTTAAACCTTCAGGGCCCATATTTATGTGCTAAAATAAAACTGACCCTGCACTTAAAGACCTTTCATCAGAATATAATCTAATTTCCAACCTGTATTTTTCTTTTATTAATTTGCTATCAGACTGAAAAAAAATGCTCCAACATTTGAACAAACTTTTCAAACGTGGATGCTTGAAAAGTTTTAGACTTCAGTCTTCAGATCAGGATACTCAACCAGTAAGTCTGCATAGATTCCAAAACTCAAAAAACTCAAATCTGAAACACTCTGCTCCCAAGCAATCCAGATGAGGACAATCAGCCTGTACTGGGCACTCTGCTAACACAGACCTCATCTGTGAAAGTCCTGGCAGCTATACAGTTTACAGCTTCATGAAGCAAGAAACAGTGTCTTACAGGCTTCCATATCACCACAGGCTAGAGCTGTATCTTACTTTTAGAAAACTCTCAGATGAAATAGTTCAATCATTCAGTACATTTTAAGATTAAATAATCAGTGCTCACTTCAGCAGTACACAATAAAATGGGAATGGTACAGAGAAGATTAGCATGGCCCCTGCACAAGGATGACATGCAAATTCATGAATTAGACCCTATTTTTGTGAAGCATGTAAAATAAACCATCTCTTCTGTCTCAGAAAAATATTAGACAATGGTTAACTCTAATTAAAATTTGAAGTTCTTTTTACATAAAAATTTAGGAAAATATACGCAATATTTGGTATTCCATAGTTTTATTCACTATCTATTCTTTAAAATACAGTGGGGGCTGGAGGCACACATAGCTCAAGTGGTAGAGCACATACCTAGCAAATGTAAGGCCTTGTGTTCAAACCTTAGAACTGCAAAAAATAAATAAAATAATATAATATAAAGTACATTGGGAAAGAAAGTTAACCATTAAAAAAAGTATTTTTCAGGCTGGTAAAGGGGCTCAAGTGGTAGAATGCCTAGCAAATGCAAGGTCCTCCTGAGTTCAAACTCCAATACTGCCCAAAAAAAAGTACATTAAAAATTATTTTTACTTAATACACTAACTTTAAACAAAACACTATGAAATTATTTGAAAACTTTAATTTTTATTTGTCACAGTAGAGGATGTTTCATTTGAAACAGACTTTTGTTATTTCCAAAAGCTACTTTGCTTGCTATAAAGTTGAACTCTTGAAAACAAGACAGTTCAGCAATAAAATCTAAGTTATGCAATGTACTGGGCAGGCGTTCTACCATTTCATCCACACCCCAACCCTTTTTACTTTAATTATTTTTCAAATAGGGTCTCGCTTTTTGAAGCAATCCATCTACGTATGCTTCCTGGGTAGCTGAGATGACAGGCAAAAACCACCATGCCCAGCTTTTCTTTTGGTTGAGATGAGGTCTCACTGTTTGCTGGTCATAACTTTGATCTTAAATTTCACATGTATTTCAGTTGTAGGAAAGCAAAAATACTTTTGGAACCAGTGATTTTGTGTGTATGGTGCGCGGGTACTGGAGTTTGAACTCAGGGCCTCATGCTTACTAAGCAGGTGTTCTACTCCTTGAGCCACTCTGCCAGCCCAGTGATTTTGTTTTTAAAGATCATATTTCTACTGCGATTTTAAACCTGGACAATGGTTTTTTGTTTTTGTTTTTGTTTTTTCTGTTTCGGTGGAACTGGGGGTTAAACTCAGAGCCTCACACTTGTTAAGCAGGGCTCTACCAATTGAGCCACCCCTCCAGTTCAACCTGGACATTTTTTATTCCAACAAAAACCTGCTAGTAAAATTTAACAATAATGAACCTTTATTATTTCTAAGAACTATCTATTGATCTCTTAAGCTAAATTAAAAAAAAAAACTCACCAAGCCTTGTATGCACATATGAATAATAAAAGAAAAATGAAAAAAAAATTAAAAAATGACTCAAGATCAAAAAAAAAAATAAAAAATAAATATACCCCAAAACACCCTACTGATTATATACCACAACTGTATCTCTCTCAGTTGGTAAAAAAGTAGCCCTGCGGCTATGTAGCGGTGCCAGTGGGTGCATGAATGTGGTTCTCAGGATGGAGACAGGATGGAGTCAGCTGTGACTCAATTGCGTAAGATTCTACTTCACCAAGGTATTCACAGTGGCCAAGTCTGAGCCAGTGCATACTTAAGCTTTCCCTTTTAGCACGCCAACCAGGCTACACACCCCGCAGACTCCATACACTGCTACCCCACTCTGAAAGGTCATTTATTCAAGAACTATTTGAGTGCCTACTCTGTCCTTTGTGTTAACCATCATGCTGAGACAAATCACAGCAGTAACATGCATGAAGTATACCAATCCTCTCTAAAGAAAATGAACAAAAAAAAAAGAAGACAAAAGAAAGAAAAAACTGTAGCTGGGCACCAATGGCTCATGCCTATAATGCTAGCTACTCAAGAGGCAGAGATCAGGAAGATTGCAGTTGGAAGCCAGCCTGGCAAATAGTTCATAAGACCCTATCTCAAAAAACCCATCACAAAAAAAGGGCTGGTGGAGTGGCTCAAGGTGTTGACCCTGAGCTTAGGCCCCAGTATGCAAAACATAAACAAATAAATAAGCAAACAAACAAGTAAAACATACACACAAAAAAAGTATAGACGTCTATTTTCTATAATGCTGTAGAACAAAAGAGGAAATCAAAATGCACTAAATTGCCTGGGTGGTAAAGCACTTGCAAAGCCCTGTGTTCGATTCTTCAACCCTGCCCTCCACCCCAAAAAAATACACTAAATAAAGCATAGTTAATATTGGTAAAATTTCACTGGATATTTTTCCAAAACCTCATTGACAAATATGAAAGAAAGCTAAAAGACTGATAATTTCGAGGGAGGGGAGCACAGAATGGGGGTTTGAAGCCAGCCTTGCGCCGGCTAGGCAAGCAGTCTACCACTTGAAACAAGCCCCTAGCCCAGGCCTAGGACAAAAAATATTTTATCCTAAAATATTTACCTAAATATTACCTCTTTTTTTTTTGTAGTACTAGGGTTTGCACTCAGGGCCTACACCTCGAGTCACTCTACCAGCCCTTTTTCATAATGGATTTTTCGAGATAGGATCTCACAAACTATTTGCCCAGGCTGGCTTCAAACCACGATCCTCCTGATCTCTGCCTCCTGAGTAGCTAGGATTACAAAAATGCGCCATCAGCACTAAACTAAATATTACCACCTAATATGCTCAAATGACGTTTATTTTATTACACCAACAAAGTAGACTGCAAGGTGATATGGTATGACAAACAGTATAGCTGTAACCAGAAGATATAAGGCACATTTAAAAACATTTGTTTTTATATGATCTCATAAAATAAAATGAGAACTAAAAAGTCCTTCTAAGAGCTCATTAAGAATTTTTGTCATTTCTTAACATAAAATTCATACATTCAGTATGTGTGGGTTTTTTTCCAATTAGACTAAACAACTTACCTGTTTCGTTGATTTTTTTGTGCCATTAAAGATCTTCCAAGCTAGCCCATTGCCACCACTGGCAATGTGTCGACCAACATCGAATTCTCTAGTGACGGGATTGCCCATAACAGCACTAGTGACATCAGCTGTTACTTTTGTAACAGTACTCTTTAACTTGTTGAGCATAGACTCCATGGCTGCAGTACTGGGTAGCTGTAGTTACCTAAAAACACAAGAGGACATGGGAGAACTGATCATTTCTTACTTGTCTAAGCATTTATTCATAATTTAATTTTAAAAGTTTAATAACTCCCCCAAAACAAGCAAAACAAAATCAATGCCATACAAAGAAAATTTATATGCTAGTCTTGTCTTCAGCAAACCCAATACATTTGAGTATAAATTTAAGCCTAGAACCAAACTGTTCCACACAATTATCAGTTCTCACAGACCAGGAAAAGATATTACTTCACACTTATACTGACATGAAGGAAGAGAATGAATATTGCTCCACTATATAACATGAATCTTTAAGACTATAAATCTTAAAATTTCCCACTAAAAACAATATAAAACCTAAAAGGAGTCGATGCTACATTAAGCAATAAATTTGTATTTTGTAAAATTTTTATTCACCATTTAATAAACACTATTGAACTACAAAGTCATTTAAGAATATTTTGCAAAAGAAAAGCATTGCCAGGCGCAGTGGCATACACCAGCTATTCAGGAGGCTGTCAGCAGAAACAACTTGAGCCCAGGAATTCAAGACTCACCCGAACAACATACGAAGACCCCCACATCAAACAAACAAAATAAGGGGGGAAGCATTGATGGCAAAGGGACAACAAAATCTGCATAAGAATAATGTCATGAAATATTCTTAAATTTTTATATGGCATTGTTATTAATTTAATAATAGTGCTACTTTAGCACTATTAATGATCACTAATTAATCAGTAATTGCTTAGTAAGCACAATGATCAGCAGTTTAATGATTAACAATTGTTAGGCTTCCTGGTGCTCATCACAGGCTATTCTTACCCTGACTGTATAGAAAGAGGAGGGAAAGTAAACCTGCCCCATTACACCTCAGCCCAAGCCCTGTGCCTGGTCTGTATTGTGCGAAGAGAAAAAAAAAAAAAAAACAATCATTAGGCTTAACTATTCTCATTTGGTAAATTAGACTAATTGTGATGACACTGTTGTCTAAAGGAAGCTTTCTTCAAACCAGAACATTTGTATCTCTGAGGTTACATGAAGAGTTTTCTTCTAATCCTATCTGTTTTATGTTGTATATTTAAAAATATTACTCTACCTTCTGGCTATGATGAAGGAACAAAGACTGAATTTACCCTTTTACTTTAAACAACTAGAAAACTGGACAAAATAAACAAATGTTTTCAGACATTGAACAGGCAGCAATAAACTGTAATCTCAGAGAGAAAGAAAACTAACAAGGTAAAGCCTAGGCTGCCCCAGCTTTCTGCCTACAGGCACATTTCAAACCACAGAGCAAAGAGCAGAATTCCAAGCAGCCACCCAGCTGAGCTGAAGAGATAAGGGGCTGGTTTTCTAACAGCAACAGAAGCTCCAACATCATTAGGGGAACTTGGACATGTTGCTGTGGCTGCAAACTCTGGGCTAGAATTTCAAAATGATGGTAGTTATGCTGAAAAAGAGCACAATGGTCCCCCTCATGCTTTGGTAAATTATAATCTACACATATGCAATGTGAATCACTACCAGATCAAGGCAAGGACCAACTATCAACTAGAGAGATGTGAGCTAAATAGTTTCATAGTTTGCACAAGACTGCAAATCACTCAATAGCTCCTCAGCTAGGGTGAAGAGGCCCCACTGATCACTAAAGCATTTTGCAGAAACCCTAGGAGGACCATGCCTTAGTTGTATGACAAATCTACTCTAGCTAAGAATAGTGTGCATGCCTATAATTCCAGCTATGAAGGGAGCTGAGGCAGGAGGATCACCTAAGCCCAGAAGTTGGGGCCAACTGAACAATATATCAAGGCTCCAAGTCTAAAAATTAAAAAGAAAGAAAACAAAAAGATAAACCTGTTCAAATAAAAAGCCATCCTCAAACGACCAAACTAATCCTAAATTACTAAACTGCATACCAGAACAAAATAAACTCAATACCCATGAAAGGAAGACACAGACCTAAAAACCACATACTAAACAATGTAACATTTACAATGTTAAATGTATAATCAGTAATTATTAGACATGCCAAAGAGTATGAAAAATTTGACTTAAAATCAAGTGAAAAAATAGTCAATAAAAGCAGACAAAATGATAAGCTTACAAAATTAGCAAAGACATTAAAAAGCTATCATATATCCAAAGTAGTTAAAGGAAAATATGAACACAATGCAAAGAAATTTTTTAAAGACCCAAGTGAAAAATCAAGACATGAAAAATAAAATATAGCATATAAATTCAGGGGACCAGAGGAACAGATTAGACAGTGTAGCAATAAAAATTAGTGTAACTTGAAGATGGAATAAAAAGCCAAAAAAATGATGAACATATCAGTGACCTGTGGAACAATATAAAGAGATCCCCAAAATGAGGGAGAAAAGGAGGAAAAGTATTTAAAAAATTAACAGTCCAAAATTTTCTCAATTTCATTAAAACTATACAGAGGTCCAAGAAATTCAGTAACCAGTAAGAAAAGATAACCATAAAGGAGACCATACTTAGACTTATTATACCAAATAACTGAAAAACAGTAATTGAGAGAAAAGCCTTAAAAGTGTTCCAAGAAAACAGGTAATATATAATGCAAAGGAACGAAAATAAAAATTTCCCCAGACTTCACATCAGAAAGTAGGCATACCAGAGACCAACAGGATGAGGTCTTTAAAGCTCTAAAGAAACTGTTTGCCTAGAATTCTATAGGGTGGGGAGAAAAAGTTTTAATCAATGCAAAGTATCTGTGAGGGTAGAGGATGTAACAGTATGCATTGAAAGCTGTTGAATAATGGGCGTGGAAGGTGCAAGGGAGAGTAATAGAGTTGAACTGACCAAAGTATACTCACAGAGGGGATACATCAAAAAACCCCTTTGAACATTAACTTAGAAATTAAAAACAGAAGACACTGTACCTTAGAAATAGGTACAGTGGCAAGGGGAAAGCACTTGTGGGAGCATGAATTTAGGAGATTAAGGCGAGGGAATATGGTTGATTGGCTTCATACACTTATACAAAATAGAACAATAAAACCTCCTACAATTGCTTTAAGTGAAGCAGGAAGGTGGTCAAGGGAGAGAGATGGTGGGGGTGATCTAACCAATGTTCAATATAAGCCTATTTGGAATTGTCACAATGAATCCTCCCATACAATGAATATATCTTAATTTTTAAAAAATCAATGTAAAATAAGGATTTTCAGAATACATACAAAACTTCCCGAGAATTTGTTGGCAACTCTGTAAGAAATATTAAAGGAAGTTCTTCAGACAGAAAGAAAAAGCTATCAGATGGAAATCTGGACCTACAAAAGGAAAGGACACTGGAAATAAAAATTATATGGATATACAAAAAGACTTCACATGATATAGTATGGTTAAAAATGATCACTTAAAGTAAAAATAATAAAATGTACTGTGTTTAAAAGTAGATAAAACAAAGAACAAGAGGAAGAAATAGAAATATAGTTTTAAAGATTCTTTCATTACATGTGAAATGGAGCTCTCAATGGCATCTTTGTGCTGGGAAGGAGTATGGGCTTCATTGGGCACTATCTTGATCAGAAGAGGCTGAAGCAGGGGCTATATCGTCATCCATGGGATGATATTTCATATGTTCTTCCGGAGCACATGAGCATGTAA